ACCTGCCAAGTGGAAAGACGTTCAACGCCCAGTTCGCCCAACCTGTGAGACGTTGCCACTCTACTAAGGGTTGGGTGCGGCTATCTGCGAATGACGTTAGCTCTGCCACCAGGGCTGAACGTTTGTCTTTGGATAGTGAGATGGTCATTGCGTCGCAATCGATGGTGTGTCCGATAATCTCGAGTTTTGATCCCCATAACTGTTTTTCCCAAGCCCAAGGTATGTTGAGGAAGTCGAATAAAGAGAGAAATTTAGCTTGGTTTAGGGGGATGGTGTGTTCCTTGAACACCACCATTTCTGTCGTGTGATTCAAACCCCAAGAATCGTCCATATAGGCGAACAAGTCGGGGATCTTCATTTCAAAGTGCGCTATCCATAGGACTAGCGAGAAGAAAGCACACCAAATCTTTGGTGAGCCGGCTCCGCCGAAATTAATACACCGATCGGCATGGTACATGTTGCCTATTCTGATGATTTGGCGCAATTGCCAGCGTAAATGACTTGGCAATATCCTGAAGGCGGAATCCACGTCCGACTTCCATAGTAAGGATTTCCAATGGAGGTTGTGTCTGATTAGGAGGGATGGGAGAAAAGATGAGAGGTAATCTAGTTTGATTTTAATTTGATTTCTATCGATCAGGTCATTAGGAGCTGGCCGTCCGAAGCTCATATTGGTACACATTTGTGTTTTACCCGAGCTTTTGCTAGTTGACAGGCATAACGGTGCGACTTTCATTCCTTTGATCGGAGAATGAAATCCAGGAGAAAATCTTCCCAGAGCTACATCTTTGTCTCGCGTTTTCTGTAAGATGGCTTCGCCATCGGCTCCGTTGACATGGTGGGTGTGAATCGTTGTTTCGTCTGAAGGCTGAGACGACATTGGCCAAAAGCCTTCTCGTAATCCTCGTAAGACGGATTCTACGAAAGGCTGATTTGGATGGGATCGTAAACAGATTGCCATCCTATCTACATTGATTGGACAGACTATTTTAAATATGTGAGGATGTCTTTTAATGGCGAAATCCGCTAAAGGGTCCGGATCTGTTGGAGGGCTTGGGAGTGGATCCGCTGTGAGTGAGTATGTTACTGAAGGAGAATGATAGGTCATGTTTTCGTCGACTTCCAAATTTCGAAGGAACTTGCGGGAATTTGGATCATTTGTGGAATTGGCCTCCTCTATGATCGTCATCGCATCCCACTTTGTTGCAAATGTGGTGCGCTCGGACGCATTTGTTGTCGGTATGCGGGCAAATGCCGCCGTTCCAAAGACCACAAGGCTGGTCAATAAGAGCCCAAAGCTTCGATTTCTTGACTTCGTATGGAAAATCAAGTCGCGAGTTTGGACGGACTTTGGCGCGAGGTTTTGATTTTGATTTCGTCGTTGTTGAAATGTTGTCCGAGACTGTCGAGACCTTTGAGGCCGACGATTTAGCAGCGTTTGTTTGAGTCTTGACACTGATGTCGAGACCTTCTCCCAGCTTGCTGTCCTTGCTGTAGAGTATTCTACTCTTGATGCTGTCCAATTCCGCGTTTGTCCAGTCACCAAAGGTGATCCACGGTTGCTGGGCGAATTGGAGGCGCAGGGCTGTGTCGTAGTTACGCACGTCCTCCCAGTGAACGCCCATGGTGGGGTCGCTGACCAGGCCTTTGATGTAATCGAAATAATTCGCCACCACTTCTGTTGCTGGCGGATAAGCTGCCTTATACGCGTGTGACAAGGTATCCATGAGGTGTTGCCAGTGTACCTTATCGCGCACTGGCACTCCTTTGACTTTTTTGACAAACTCAAGGTCTTGTGCATAGTTGATCTTGATTGTTTGAGTTGAAGATGGCTTGGTGTAGATCTCAACGTACAACTTCTCGAGGTCGATATAGTTGTATTCCAAGAGGTCCTTGATTTGCGATTTCGGCCAGTTGGGAGGTTTGTTTTGAGATTCCTCGAATAGTGAACAGGACCTTTTAATATCCTCCTTATATTCATTTTTGATGGTGCTGATTTGTCTGGCCAGTACCGTGAATTTCCTAGTTTGTAAATCGTCTCTAACCGCCTGAAAGGCCAGCTGCTTCTGGGGTTTTTCGGTTGTAGTAGCCAAGATTTTTTGAAGCGCTGATTGAATAATGTTGTCAGCTGAATCGGCAGGAATTTCGCGTTCCTTGCCTTTCGAGGTCGATGGGAGTGGTCTACTGTTGACCGGCGCATGTCTTGCCATTGAACGATTAGGGAGGTTCTGATTTCTAAGAGGGGCTGGTCGATGATAAGGTCCGTTATCAATTCTTTCCAACAAGGACCTTGGAAATTGGGCTGATTGGTTATCTCTTTGAGACTCATGTACTCGATGCCCTTCACCAGATGTGGTGGGGTCTCTGTCACGTCTATATAGGGAGTCTTCCCTGCGAGACTGACGAGGACTTCTCGACCGTCGAGAAGACCTATTACGGCTCCTAGATCGCCGACTACGTCGTGGACTTCTAGATCTGCGTCTGCGGTTTTGAGGGCTATGTGAGCGCCGTGACTGTCTGCGAGGGCTCCTAGACCGAGCCTCGCGACGAATGGGAGATTTCCCGCGTGGCAGAGATTCCACGATTGCCGGAGGTTCAGCAGGCGGTTGAATTTCTTCATCACCATAATCCCGTTCTTCGTTAACTGCAAACGGGTCTTCAGCGAGGGCTGCGATAAATGCTTCTTTAGGGTGGAATTTGATTTCCTCTGGTGTGACCAGTTGGTCGCCGGCGCTTCCTGCCGTGAGAACAATCGGTTCTCCTGCTTCCAATACCTCCGGGGTAAGGTTCTCTGGGACAGTATCCACTGTCTCCCAGATTTTGCGATGTGCGCGCGCATCGACTTCGATGGTGGCACGAGCGAAAACCAAGAACCTATACATAAAGTATGGATCGGTTGTCGGTATGATAGCACTGAAGGCGTCTCGAAGATCCCACATGGAGATGCTATCGCTACCTCCTTGACAAGCGTAATCGATGAGGAGGGTTTCCAATGCGTTGAAATTGACTGTCGCATCGTTGACCATTGCAGCCATTTCATCTTGCATAACTTCAATTGCGAATTTTTTTTAGAAGTAATTGAATTGAAAAATTTCTAGTTTAAATTGACTAGCGCTGTACTGTGTATATGAAAGTAGAAGCAAAGAACTTGACTGAACTAACAGTGTACGAGCGGAGATTTAAACTGATAGAGGAAAATAAAAATAGAGAAGATATATTTTTGGATTTTCCGATAATTTTCTGGGACAAACGGAACTGTCGAGAGAGATAGGAAAAAGATAACAAAGGTTTGAGAACCATGATCCGCAGATTGAATCTTTGCGACGATCTTTTGAGAGTTGACAGTCCGCTTCCCGCCTCAACTCTTACTGCTCCTCTTGCCTGCGGGACCCTTCGACTTCTCCCATTCCCCTCAGTCAACTCATAGAGCCAACTCCCAAACCAGTCTGCATGTATCTTGGACACTTCAATCAATCCTGAAGCTTGATATTTGTATCAACATGGACAATGACAATGACATCAGAATCTTTGGCAGTGGAAGGCTCTTCAATAAAAGTGAGATTGAAAACTTTCAAAATGTTTTACTCTGCCACTCATCACATTCCATCAATTCGAAAGAAAAAAACAAAAAAGTCAAATTTGATTTGTTAATTTATCAACTTCAACTTCAGCTTCATAGGAGATTAAATTTTGAATTTTTGATCTTGGGCATGATGATGGACGATACGTGTTTGGTATTCCAACGACATCAAATTGTAAATTAGAAACAAGGCAAAGATTGATCACACCTTACTTAGCAGAAGTCAAGAATCTCCGCAGAGAAGCTCATTGCACACTTAAACAAACATATTCCTCACTCCGCACAGCTCAAAAACATTGTTCATCGAGGAACATTGCCAACCCAGCCATCTGATGCAAAAAGGATGCCCTCGGCCAGGATCGAACTGGCGATCTCCGGATGTTTCCTAACGGATCATGTGTTCACTCGTGAAAGTATGAGACCGGCGCTCTAACCAGCTGAGCCACGAAGGCTATACAGTTTGACCTCATATAGGCTTGTTATTGCGGACATAAGTCCCGCAGTTACTGCGCAACAGCTGCGTATCCCGTCAATTGCTGCGATGACCCTTTCCTCAACCCAAACCTTCATCATCATCCATGTGATCCGACAGTTCATTAACCAACACCAAACTGAATGACTTCCAAACCACCAAAAACGTCTTCCAACCCACCTTGTCAGATCGCCACACTCGAACAATACAAATGTGAACCGAATCGAAGACTAGGAAGTATTAAATCACCCGTATGGGATTGTGAGATCCAACGTCGGTTTTTTGAAATGTGAGTGATTCAACTCTGAGTTATACGTCTTTGTTCTGAGTCTTTTTTGATGGGGTTTGGGGTTTTTGGAATAGGTGTGATGGGGGTCGTTCGGTGGAGATCAGCTTGGATTTGGATGAAGGTTTAGAAAGACAGAAACCGAGATCGGATGATCAGCTTACATGAAAGTTGAAGTTAATGCTGGATGAATTCGATGGTGATTTAATTTGATGGTGTTGACCAGTGGAATCGGATGATTTGATTGCATAAACTTACAAACTTGATTTGATGAATGTACAAATAAAAGATATTTTCTCAAAGTTTGCTTCTATGGTCATTAATTTTCCCAATCAATTTGATTGTGCTGAAGATTTGTTTTGTAAAGGGGTGATTGTGATTAAGATTTCTTCTGAGGAAAGGAATTCGGTAGGGCAGGAAGTTGTTTGAGATGATCCGCTAAGGAATGTTTTGAGTTGCTTGTGGTGAAACTAAAGAATGCATGCTAGAAGTAGACATGCAAGTGAAGTTTTGTTGCAGAGAGATAGTATTCTCTAGGTACATAAGATAAATTGAGTTTTACCTTCAACTCAACTTCACCATTCAAATTGAACTTTATCCCAAACCAACTCAATCGAATTCCCATTGACAGTTCCTTCAAAACAACCAAAAGCACTCAAACAATGAAAGGTTTATTTCACAAAAGAGTACCATCCTTTACTTTTACTTCATTTAATTGGTCAAAAGATTCAAAACATTCACCATCATCCGATCAAAACTTATCATTACCTTCTTCTCCTCAACCACAATCAAACAATCCAAACTTATTACCTCCTGATTCTCTTTCTCAATCTTCAACTTCAACTCCAAGCGATCAAGCAGATAAACAAATCCAACTCAAACTTAAATCTCCGAGTCGTGGAAGACGTTCTAGAACAACAAGTTTAGCTGATCAGGATCAACATCCATCTCAATCGACTTCACCTCATTCGAATGCTCGTAGACGTAGTGTTAATGATTTAAGATCTGATTCAAACCAAGCAAATCAAAGTTCCTCTAGACGTGGAAGAAGTAGTAGTACTCAAAACCTAAGACGTCGTAGTCTCTTATCGATCTTTACACCTACTACTCATCATCGTCAAACCAATTCGTCTTCTCGATCACCAAGTCCTGGACCAGCTCTCTTTCGATTCAAGACTTCGAGTTCTGAAAGAATCCATTCGTACGAATCAGATGGAGAAAGTATGGCAGATGTCGTACCTGAGAATGCGTTTAATCAAGCATCAGAATCAGATGAAGATTCAAGTGGATCAGACCGATCAAGTAGATCATCATCATCATCAGATAATGAAGAAGAAGAAGATGAAGATGAAGAAGATGACGAGAACACATTACGAACGTCTATAGATCTTCAAACCATTTTGGCCAACACGAATGCCAATGCATCTTCCATGACTCCAACTGATTATTTACAACACTCTGATCAACCGATTCCATTCATAGACCAAGCCCCTAACCTTACGATTCCTCCACCTCCTCCGATCTCATTCGCTTCATCAACTGATCATCGTCGTCGTCAACAACACATCTCTAATACTCGATCTAAACTCGAATCACGTAAACCATCAACAATCTCAAGATCCTCGACAATGAGACGTAAAAAATCTACTCATCTTCTACCTTTGCCTCTTAACGTCTCGCGGCCGAGTTATGAAAAGAATAGGTGTACTGTTACTATTGAACATGGTAATCAGACTGAAGCTTCAATCGGATCTGAACGTACTAGGTTTTATCTTGTGGCGTGTGATTTGAGTGAAGAATCTAAATACGCGATCGAATGGACCATTGGAACGGTCCTAAGACAAGGTGATGAGGTTTGTGTATTATCTTGGTATTTGTATCTACATGTTACAGAACATTGATCTTGCGGGTGATTCTTTCTGCTCAGTGTTTGATCATCAATATCATCGAAACGGAAACCAAATGTAAGAGCTTGATGATCGTTTAGGTTTGCAGATTTCGGTACTGAAGCTGGTGTGTTTTTGGTGGGTGTGATAGTCGATCCTGAAGGTGCAGGAACAGCTGCAGATCGAATGGCCAAGATCCGTAACCAAAAAGACCGACAAGAAAGAGCCACTCAAATCGTTCGAGAAGGTATTCATCCTTTCCTCTTTCCCTTTCGAAAAATCGAAAATTGAAAATTGTTTTTTTTTTCGATTTTTAGCAACCGCTTTACTCGAACGAACTAAATTGAATGTTAAAGTCACTTGTCAAGCAGTTCATGCAAAGAATTCAAAACATATGTTAATAGATTGTATTGATTTTATTAAACCTAATTTGGTGATCGTTGGTAGTCGTGGGTTAAGTTCGATTAAAGGAGTCTTGATGGGTAGTGTATCACATTATCTTGTACAAAAATCATCTGTTCCAGTTAAGTGCTTTTCCCCCCCCACCCAAGATGACTTTTTTTTTTCTTTTTCCTTGACTGATTTTTGCTTTTTTTTTTGAATAGGTTATGGTCGCTCGTAGAAGACTTAGAGCTCCGATTAAGGTTTATAAAAAGAAATCTGAATTAGATCGACAACCTAGGATGAGATTAGATCAAGCAGTGATTGAAAAAGAAACACCTAGCATTCATTCTATGATTGATCCCCCGCATGAGCTTGAGAAAGTTGTGGGTTCGGATCTGGTCGATGGTCAACGTGTTTCGGTGGATTCAGAGGTTTCGGAAAAGTTGGAAGAACAGGGAGGGAAAGCGGTTTGAAAGGAATTGGTTGGATGGATTGCTTTTGGATCCTTGGGGTTGGTTTATTTGTTGCTTTTTGGTCTTTTAATCATATCTTTCTCTTTCTCTTTTTTTCAACTTTATTGATTTTTTAAAACCAAGATAAAAACCCTTAAGAAGTATGATTACCATCCCATTCAAAAAACGAAAAACGAAAAAAAAACCAAACGCTGGACGTCGTATTATTATGATAGTTTAAATTATTTGAATTCACCTTGAACAATAACATATTCGAAAGTGTTTCTTTTTTCAATTTTTTTTTTGTAGCTTTGGATTGATGTGTACAATTGAAGTAGATATGTGTTTTAATTTATTAAGCTTTTTTTGGGTCTTTTTTGGGTTTTTTCTTTTGGAATTTATTGAGGGTTTAGTGAAAGTTTAAATGGGTTGGTTTTCTCAAAGAAAATAAAAAAAAAACAAGTAGAAAGTTACATATTTGGGTATTAGGTTTTTTTTGGAGATTTGGGATGGTGTTTTCAGTTTGGGACATCGGTAGAGGTTTGGGAGCTTTAAATGTGAACTCTGGTTTAAGTGTTTTGCTGCATTAAAGGGTTAAAGAAATTCCTTCACTCTATTGTATGGATGATGGATGACAAATGTCAAATGTCATTGCTAATTTCCCAAGCACAATGTGAATCTAGCTATCAAACTTGAAAATTTAAGTGTTTTTGATTTTGTTTTGGTTCCGGTTCTTTGGAGTCTGTGATCTGGTTCCGGTTGAAGAAGAAATACAGACTCGGCCGATTCACCACCATTTCTTTACTGTACACAGGTGAGTCAGAGTGTGACTTCTTTGATTTCTTTCCTGTTTAAGTTTTAACATCTCTTTTGTCATTTAACTTCGAATAGAACAAAACAAATCCATTTCGAATAGAAAAAACAACCGATCGAAAGGAATTTGGCATTAAAATCTGGAACATCGTTAGAAAAGAAATGGAAATCCCAATGAACTTTAACGTTTGTTTTATTTTCTTTGAAATCATTCGATCAGTTTTTGAATTCGCCCAAAAAGAAATTGACTAAGTTTGATATGATATTGTTTTGATTTTGTTTTACATAAGCTTCATCAAGTTTTATTTGTTCAAGTTGGACTTTCGATCTTAGCATCTGGATCAGTTTCACCTTCATACAATTTACCTATTCATCTTTATGGTCTATATAATCTAGATAATGAAGTTCATCATTTTCCTGGTGCTTCAGATGGATTACGTCAAGTGAGATTTTTTTTCAAAAAAAGAATAGAATGATAAAGAAAACTAACTGAAATGGTGGTGTGTAGTATTCGATCTTGTTAGTGGTCTCGTTTGGATTAGATTTAATATGGATCTATAATTGGTCATCCTCGATTTCTTCATTACCTTTTGTTTTGATCTTGGTTGGGTTGATTATCAAACCGATCTCATGGATGATTTGTTTATCTAAACTTAATCAAACCTATGGAACAACTGGATTGACTGAAGTCTTTCTTCAACCTTCTTCGACTACGGCCGCTGCTTCGATGCCTTTACCTAATGGATCGTATCATCAAGCTTCTTCGAACCTTTCTCGTGGATTTCAACGTGATTCGAATCATGGTTCGTTTACTTAATCTCAGACCATCCAGTTTTACAAAAATTTTATTAATTTTATTATTTTGGGGTTTGGTGATGGGGGGTTTTTTGGAAGGAATAGGTTCCAAGTTTAGATCCGATCAGAACCGAATCATAAACACAACCAAACCAGGCCCTTCATCAATCTCACATCAATCCCAATCATCTCAACTCATCAATCCTTCTCAAGCTTATCATGAATTTGATTTAGATTCAGATGCTCAAAACTTATCGGATGATGATCTGAAATTCGCGCAACAAGAACTTCAGAATAGAATTGCTCAAAAACAACAACAACAACAATCACCATTACTGCCATTGAAACAAGATGGGCAAGAAAGTTTGGGTGGGTTGGGTGGTAGTGGAAAGAGTTTGGGTCAAACGGTGGGGTTGGGTGAGCCTTTGAAAAGTGAACCACCGGTTTGATGACTTTTGGAAAACTCGTGGGGTGTCTTACTCATTAATTCACACATACTCTTATCAGTTCTTCTCGTCACTTTGAATGTGTTTTTCTTTTTATATTTTCAAAAATTTCCATTTTTTTTTGAAAACTCATGATGGATTAAATTAAATTATCTTATCATCATCAAAACTTTTACCATTTGTTTACTGAATGATTATATATTTGATTTTTATCTAATTTCTTTTCCCTTTTTTTTGAGGGTGAGGGGAGGTTTTTGGTTATTTTTTTTTCTTTTCAATTTGTTTGTTTGATTTGATTGACATCTCCGCTATAAAAATGATGATATCCTACTTTGCATTTCTTTTCTTGGACCAACTTCTTAAATGGTTCATCTGGGTTTAGATTACACCAATCATGAAATAAAAAAACTCGTGTATGAAAAATATCATTCCTGGTCTTTTTTTACTGGATTTTCAAACAATCTCTTCATTGTATTTGTTGCGAGCTGTCTAGGAGGAATTCAGGCAGGGATTGGGCAAAAAATATGTCCCAACAGTGGCTTGAACACTGGACCTTCAGATTTAAGGTGATAAACTTCAGTCTGACGCTCTCCCAACTGAGCTATTAAGACATAGACTCCGCAATTCCTCGCCGGTATAAGCCAGGAAAACTACTCCATGCGATCGCTCGGAATTGAGAATGAATTAGGTTTCATGGCTTGAAATCTTTTGAGTTTGTAGAAAAATGAATTCCGATCATTTGTACATACAACACGACATTTTGAATTTTTCGATATCTAGGAGAAACCAAGACGATCAACAAACCGACCCACAAGTAAAAGAAGAAGAAGAAAGAGATGAACCAAGGAGAATAAAGAAAACACAGAAAGAGAATCAGAAAAAAAAAGAAGTTGATCGAAAGGAATAATTTAATTTTTCAAGATGGTTAAGAATGGGATTGGATTGATGAACGTGATTGGGATTGGAAGTTTGTCTGGATTAATTACGAGTTTAATCATTTATAAGTATTCAGATTATTTTAAACCGATCAACAAGAAAAGTACCAATAGCATATCAAAAACAAGAAAAAGCTCTGAGAAAGAAAAAGAAGAAGAAGGAGAGAATTTGATTAAAGAACAATTAATTCGACATGAAAGTTTTTTTGGAGAACTTGGAAATCAACAGATTAGAAAAAGTTATGTGGTGGTCATTGGTTTAGGAGGAGTCGGATCACATGTTTCTTTAAGTTTGATTAGATCTGGTGTGAGGAGGATTAAATTGATTGATTTTGATTTGGTTTCACTTTCTTCACTTAATGTAAGTCTTTTTCTTTCCCCTGAAGAAAAACCAAGAAAAAATGGAAGATTGATCAGATTTTTTTTGAGGGGGGTTTTTTGGGTAGAGACATGCGGTGGCTACTCGAAACGATGTGGGAAAACCTAAGGTGGAAGTTTGTAGGGAGTTTTTTAGGAGGATTTCTCCTTGGATTGAAATTGAGATCGAGATGAGAGAATTCAATTCAGAAAATGCAAAAGAACTTTTGATGAATGATTCATCAGAAGAAGGAGAAGAAGTGGATTGGGTTTTAGATTGTATTGATAATATCACTACTAAATTAGACTTATTAACGTTTTGTAAAACTAATCAAATCAAAGTAAGTTATCCAATCATTCTTCATGACTATATATCTTTTTTTTGCTTTAACTTTTTTTTCGGTTTTTGATGGTTTCTTTTTTTTTAGGTGATTTCTTCACTTGGTGCAGCTTCTAAATCAGATCCATCTAGAATCCAAATCAGTGATATTTCGCTAACTTTTGAAGACCCATTAGCCAGATCAGTTCGTAGAAGATTGTAAGGAATTTTTTTCCCATCATCTATATATATATATCTCTTTCGTTGTGAAAATTTTCTAAGTTTAGGTGGATTGACTTGATGCTGGGTTTTCTTTTTTTGGTTTTTTTTTTGGGTAGAAGAATGAAAGGGATTGTGGATGGCATACCGGTGGTTTATTCAACTGAAAAAGTAAGGTTCAAGTCTTTTACTTTGAAAAAACTTGAAACTCACCCAATCTTTTGGTGTTGGTTTTGGTTTTCTTTTTTGGTTTTTTGGTTTTTTGTTTTTTTTGGTAGCCAAATGAAAAAGTCACTTTATTACCTTTACCAGAAGAAGAATTTCAAAAAGGAAACGTTCAAGAGTTATCATCATTAACTAATTTCAGAGTCAGAATCTTACCTGTCTTAGGTCCCATTCCTGCCATGGTAATTAAATTCCTTTACAATTTTCCCACTCCTTTCTATTATATTTCTTATATTTTGGAAAACAAAAAAATTGATGTAAGTTTTTCTTCTTTTTTTGTGGGGGGGGTTTAGTTTGGTCAAGCTATGGCTGCTTATGTTTTGAGTCAATTATCTGGTTTTCCAATCGATCCATTACCAGTCAAGTAAGTCCTAAACTCATAATTCCAAAGCAACAAAAAAGACAAAAAAAACCACTAAAGTTCTGTTACATCTTGATTTTTGCATAAGAAACCGAACCAAATTATACAAAAGGTTATACAATGATTTATTATCCAGAGAATCCAAACTAACGGGAACGACTACAATCCCATTTTCAATCGAAGAAATAGGTTATATCTTTGAAGAGATCTATAGAGGCAAATCAATCGTTTCTCCAAACTTTGTGATCTCTAATACGTTATGTTTGATCAGATGGGATTCTAAGATCGATTTGAATTGGCAAAATTGTGTGGTGATGGATAGATCTGAAGCTGAGCTTCATGAAGAAAAGGTTTTGAGGAATGGGGTGGATCCTCAGGTTGTTTGGGATCCTCAAACGGTTGGGTTGGTTATGGAAAGGTTTGAGGAAGAACTTAGGATGTGGGTTTTTCGTAGAATTTGGTTGGTTGGAAATCAGATTCTGTTGAAAACTGATTCTATTCGTTCTTTTTGGTACAGGCGAAAGTGGAGATAAAACTCTTATGATTGGGTTTTTATACTTAGCATTCAATTCTTTACAACATATTTTTTGGGAGGAATAGTACATAAATTTACATTCCTAAGGAAAATCCACAATCAATTCGAATAGATAATGAAAACTTTACAAGGAAATTGATTGATTGATTGATTGATTGGGTGATAGATGGATTTTAGAATAGATGACTTGTAGATCTTGTGAATCTAGTATGTTTTGGAAATATTGAAGGGTTTTGGATCTGATGATCATTTTCGGATTTGATTGGAACGGGTTCTTCGATTTGGATTGTTTGTAATTTGGGATTTAAAGTCTCATCATCATCTGGTTTGATTGAAACATCGTCTTCAAGTTTGATTGAAACATCATCTTCAAGTTTGATTGAAAGATCGTCTTGTAGTTTGACTTTTTTCAATTTAGATATATCTAGATTTAGTTCATCATTTTGAATATCAATCAATCGTTCATCTTCTAATTTGATTCTTTTACAAGACGATGAATTCGATAGTTTAAGATCAAGTTTCGAATCAGAAAATGATCTTTTCATACCAAAGTCAGAAGGATTTGAAAGTTGATTTAACTTTGATTTTAATGTTGGGTTCATACTAGACAAAGTTCTTTTTAAATGTTTTGGCTTATGATCATGAATTAGATTAGGATGATTCAAATCAATAAAAAAGATAATTTGTTGAGTCCAACCTGCATAATCACCCCATAGTTCAATAAATTTAGTTTTAATTAAATCATAATCTTGTTTTGAGACTGTTTTTGATTTCGAAGTGGATGAGTTTAAGAATTGATAATCTCGTTTAGCGATTTGATAAAGATGGACATCTACCGGTACGGTTTCTTTGAATCCTAAACCGAATAAACAAATACAATCTGATACTTTGGGACCTACACCTGAGAAATGAGTGATTAAAGTTTGGTGTGCTACAGAATATGAAAGAGTACCGTTGCTTAGAGAGTTTAAGTATTCGATGGGTTGGCAGTTTTGTGAGACTGAAAGTTCGATTAATGATTGGGTTGAAGTCATGATATATGATGATCTATAACCGAATCCTAATTGTTTTAATTTGGTTTCATCACATGATCTTGATAGTTGATGAGGAGTTGGAAATGTATGGATCGAATTGGGTTTGGATTGGATTGAAATGATTTCATCTTGCTTTGGGAATGTTAGACCTGGTGTTGGATATGGCATTGGAGTACCAAAGCTTTCTGATAAATTATTGATCATTGAAGTGATCCTAGGTATATTATTATTTGAAGAACAAATAAAACTATTCAAAGCACAATCACATTCAATTAGTCTCTTTTTTGGCGGGAAGTCAAGTTAAGAGATCTAATGAGAACTTTACCTTATTAATGTTTCCCATGGATCTTGTTTACAAACTCTTAATCCATTGTATGATCCATTTAAAGTTTTGAATTTAAAATTCGAATCACGTCTTGACCATTCTTGATAAAGCTTTTGAAGTGAAACATTCAGAACAAAATAATCATTTAAGAAAGTTAAAGTTGTGTTTTGGTTTAAATCGTTTTGATAATCTTGAATTTGATTTGAATGATATAAAGAAAGATAATGAATTCCTGAATCTAAAGAGAACCCAAATCGACATCAATATTAATATTGTTAGATTTGTTTAGATTGAGAGGTTTTGGTTGTAGATTGATGACTTACCAACTTGTCTTAAGATTATCGTTCTCTTTTGGTTGACGATTGACCATTCTATATGTTGGGTTTGATCGATCGTTTGAAAGATTGATGATTTCCAATTGAAACTTTGACCTGATCTTAATGTTAATGATAAGTTTAGTTCGATTGGATGGATGTTTAAGAATCTGATGGGTGTTTTGAGTATTGACATTTTCTTCATGAAGAGGTTGAGTCCATGAGTTCAGTTCAAGAACAGTTCTTCAATAAATTCCTCATTTCGGGTATTTTCGATGGAAGTCTGTGACTCTCGGGTACCACTCGGGTCGGATAACACATCCATTTATTCCATTTGCCAATTTCTGAGATCAAGATCCTCAGCATCCTCAACAATGAAATTAAATGTGAGCAATGAAATTAAACGTGTTGGTTGTTCGATAATTCCTTTGATTTTAAAGATCTTCAAGACCCCAAATCTATCTCTTGACTATAACAAAGATCTCATGATTCCTATGGTAACTTCACACGATTTAATTCTCAACTCTCATGAATGCCTTAACTCCCTATATATCATTCTTTTCTTAAATCTTCAACTTCGGTTACTCGATCCATCTTTTTTTTTTCTCATCGTGAAAATTGATCATTCGAAAGAAAAAATTGATCTACTATGAAGACAAGAGAATTTTCTATAAATCAAGCTTTCTAATTTTATTCCCTTGACTGCAAAAAAAAATCTCACAAATTAAATTACCATCATCTTTGATCTTTTTTTGTTGTCCTTCTATTACTCAAAGAAATAAGACTTGATTAGATTTTGAAGTAGAAGACAAAAGATGATGAATTTCAATCATTTTAGATTTTTGTTGGTTTCGATGTTATTTTTTTCAAATTCATTAACCATCAAATTGGTAAAAAGACAAACTGATTTATCTGATCAACTTTCTCAAGATTTATCTCAACTTGATCCTACAAGTTCGACTATACCTAATCCTCCTAGTTCATCAGTCAGTAATACTCTTACTACCAATACCAAAGTACCTATCTATGATATCTGTTCTATGCCACAATCATTTGCATTAAGTGAGTTAAAGTTAAAGGGTTTTCTTACTATCTTTTTTCGAGGGTTTGACTTATGATTGGTTTCTGTCGATTGGGTTCGGTAGCTTTTGATGATGGTCCAAGTGAATTTAGTGCTGGATTAGATACGCTTTTGAATTCGAATGGAGCTAAAGCTAGTTTCTTTGTCAATGGTAATAATGTGGGTTGTATATACGATTATGCACCGGTTTTGATTGCTAGGTTTAATGCTGGTCATTTGATCGGGTTAGTTCTTTTTTTGATTAAATTGTCTGTAGAAAAAAGTGGATGTGATTCTGATTCTGATTCTGGTTCTGATTTGGTGTGGTTTTGGGTATGGTTTTTTTTTGGTGTAGGAGTCATACTTGGAGTCATATTCATTTAAATTCGGCTACTTATGAAGAGATTAATCAACAACTTGATTTACTTGAACAAGTTAGGATTTTTTATATTTTCTTTATATATATAATCAAATGAACATTCTTGATGAATGTTTTTTTTTGTCGTACTAAAGTTATTCTTTTTTGTTGGTTTGTTTGTTGGTTTAAGGCTTTGATTAAGATCTTGGGTGTAAAACCTCGTTGGTTTAGACCTCCTTATGGTAAGAGAATATATTCTAGACCACTTTTTCGAAAAACCATCTTAATGACTCTTTAACTTTCTCTCTTGAAAAAAACAATAGGAGAATACAACGATTTAGTAGTAAGTATGATTTTTTTCCCTCCACCCCTAAAATCAACAGAAATCTTAAGTATTTGTGTTTTTTTTTTTATTTTGATTTTCAATAGTTACAAGTTTTAGCAGAAAGAGGTTATAAAGGATTAGTTCTATGGACTCATGCAACAGGTGATGCGAATTCCAATCCACCTAGTCCTGATTCCATCGTTCAATTCTATCAATCTTATGGTGAAAAAAGTAATATTTTAAACCATGAGATTACTTCTTCTACTCCTCAAACTGTTCGTTGGATTTCTTTTTCTTGTTGTTTGATGGTTTGTTGTTTGGGGGTTTTGGGAATTGATTTGGTTTGGTTGGTTTGGTCGGAATTTTTAGGTTATACCTGCTGTTTTACCTCAACTTGGAGAGAAGTTTAAATTGGTTACAGTATGTTTTGGGTTTATGGATTTGATTGAGTTTTTTCTTTGATTGATTGATGAATTTTTTTTTGTTCTTAGGCTCCAAGTTGTTTAAACCTTTCAAATGATCCAAAAGATTGGTATCAATTTGTTGGTACACCTTCAACTAAAGATGTAAGTTTCCTTTTTTGTTTTGTTTTATGTTTTTTTAGTGGAGTTGAGAAAGAATCATCTTGGAATCTTACCGATCTTTTCATGTTGATTTGTTTGTAGGCATCTTGGACTTGTAGTGGTACACCTTCAGGATAATCTTTCATGATTCAATTTCAAAAAATTTGGGAAGAAATCATAATGGTGTACTTTTTTTGTTGTATTTATTTTTCTTGAGTAGAAAATTTGGACCTTGAAGTCTTAAAAAAGTAGATCTTTTTTGACAATTTTTTGTGAAATAAAACATAGTGAATAGATATCAATTGAACATCAAGTTTGATTCGATTGGGTTTCTCAACTGAGAAAAATTGATCATGTTGAGGAACCAGGCGCTTGAGCAAGCTTATATACTTCACAATAAAAACAATATCTGCTAGAGCTCAATGTTTTTTTTTTGAAAGTTTCCACTGTTGAGCACAAACACCAAATCTTGCAAAAAAGTGAACTGTAACACAGAAAAGGATTTGGCAGAACTACTTGTACATAAGATGCCGTGAACGGTAGGAATCTTTCCGGGACGCCGCGAGAGGGACTTTGTTAAGTTAAAGGAATCTTGTTCAACTGAGACAAGAAATTTTGGTTAAGCTAAAGGAAGTTTTCAACAATTACCCGGAAATGAAATTCGGGGCAAAACCTTAAACTTGGCAAAACCTGAGCCAAAGATCCGATAATCCGAACATTGTACGCACTGGACGGTGACCTGTTAACTTAAGTTGAGACAAACAAAGTGAACTGGGAGATGATATCCTCTTACATCTGGACTTTCTTAAGCAGGTGAGCCTTTCTTTGAATCTGATCGGCTTTCTTATTCTTGTACCAGTATACTTACTTGACTTCTTTTTGTTAAGTTGGTTTAGCGATTGATGATACGTATTAAAGAGACGATCGAATATCCACATCAGATTTCGAAGGAAATTGTTCAGGAAAACATACAAATAACAGAAAATGACCAACATTGAACATAAATCATTCTTAAACATAATAGAAAGGTGTAATAACTTTCAATTACCAAGTAAACCCGATTTTGAAGATCATGGAAACCTCGAAGAAGAAGAAAAGTTAATACCATTTTATATTGATTTACCTGATACTCTTCAAAATGCATCAATCAATAGATTGAACACAACGATAAAAGATGGTGAACCAAAAGAAAAGGGTTTCGATTTTAGTTCGCCTATTGGATTTATCAGACCTTGTGTTGTTAAAGCTATGATTAAAGATAATCAAGAGATGTTCAGAACCAAACATCGAACTTGTTGGAAAACTTTATATTCAAATCGGAATCAAGATCGATCGGATCCTGGAAAATTACCTTGTTGTATTGGATTTGAAGATTGGATTAATGTTCATGATGATCCGGTTAAGATTAGATCTAAAGAAATGGAAAGATTGTTGAAAAGTTGGAAAGAATCTAATCAATTCCTTTCATTATTATCTGGTTTGTTAACGGGTTTTCTTCTTTCCGATTTTCTTTGTTTTCTTAGTTTCACAAGATTATATAGTGTTGAGATTTCGATTTTTTTTTTCTTAGGTTGGAGAGATGAAAAATATACGATTTATGCACCGAGATCGGTTATGAATTCGATGAAGAATGATCTAATTGGATGTAAGGAAAAGGGTTCTAGGATTGCACTTCAGCTTGAAAGATCTGGGTGTCAGTTATTTAGTTTTTTGACTTTTGGTGCTCATTTGACTGGTCAGTTAGTTTTCTCTCAAAACATTATTGAGGTCTATCAAATGATCTAAATCAATGATTTCGATTCTTATAGCTTATGTTATAAAGGATGATCAGTATCATTTTTGGATTCCACGTAGATCATCTACAAAACAAACGTAAGACTAACATTTATGATAATTTGTGGATGGATATGAATTGATGAATTGATTTCTTTTGGAAAAAAAGGTATCCATCCATGTTAGATAATACAGTAGGAGGTGGAATTACTGCAGGTGAAAGTGCTAGAGAAACGATAATTCGAGAGTGTTTTGAAGAAGCTAGTTTAAGTGAAGAGGTTGTTTTAAAAGGACTGAGATCTACTGGATTGATTAGTTATGCTCATAAGAATTCAGATGGATGGGTTTCAGTACGTGTTCTTTTTTCGAATCATTTCAAACTTCACTTTCAATCACGATCATGAATATCTGATGACCATTCATCCCATATATGGCATCTTGTACACACTCATTTTTGGAACTCTTAGCCAGAAGTTCAGTATCTTTATGATTTAGAATTATCATCAAATATCATTCCAAAATCAAATGATGGTGAATCAATAGATTATACTTTAATGAGTTTTGATCAACTCAAGATCAGTTTATTGGATTGCTCTCATGAATGGAAACCGAATTGTGCTTTAGTTTTGATTGATTTTTTTATTAGACATGGATTAATTGATGATGAGAACGAGATGGATTTTATGAAGATTTGTTTAAAACTTAAAGAACAGATTCCTTTACCTGGTCCTTGATTCACAAATCTTTCTTTGACCATTCAATGTATATACGTTTTTAGATTTGGGAAATCTTGTAAATCTAGGGCAAGCATACAACAAATAGATTTGATTTTTATATAAGATGCTAACTTGTATCCGTTGTTGCGTGAATAGCAGTAGCAAAATTTCGATCAGCAATGGGCTTGATGTCACAATGCTGTCTGTCATCTCATGTCTTGAAGGTCCTTCCTTCCGCATCTCATGATCAAGCTCTGCTCAGAATTCAGGTCTGACTTACCAGCCTCGGTAGTCTGTACAGCCTCAGGACATATACGGTGTTGAAACTTTGGAAGTATGTAGCGAATGCTGGCTGAAGGTCGTTGACATCAGGCTCATGGACACCATCAAATCTGGATTTTCAGTTTTTGATTCTCTTCGGAATGATGGGCAACTTTGTCAAAATTCTCATGAGAGTTGGTTGTCGAAGTCATAGTCATACAACCACTCTCAATTACCACGTGAAGTATTTATCATCGATCGTTGAGTCTTTTCACTTTGTTTCTTTAGTGATTTCGAGGGATTTCTCCACATTGTAGTTGCCCATCAATTTGCTTCTTCATCAGAAAACGTTTTTCAATCCCATTCTTTTTTCTTCCTTAAGCTTTCTGTCTCCATCAGTTACATAATTCTACCGTACCAGGACAGAACAAACAAACAAACTCTCAAAATCCAGATTTCTTTCATTCTTCAATTTTTTTGTCATCGATTTTTAGAACTTCAAAGCAAAAAAAAGAAGATGAAGACCATCAATTTGATTACCATCCTTTCTCTATTGATTCTTAAACTTGATTCAATTTCTTCAAGTAAAACAACTTCAAAGCTCAGTATAGATGATGAATTAATCAAATTATTTCAAACGAGTATCTTATTGATCGCTTCGAATACCAGTAAATCTACCTCTCCGTCTATCAAGACCACTCCTCCTATCACTACTACTCCTAGAAAAACCACTCCCATTACTTCCCCCATTACTACCCCCACTACTACTGAAAGTACTGAAAGTACTGAAACCACTGAAACCACTGAAACTGCTGATACTGCTGATACTACTGATTCCACTGATTCCACCGCTACTTCTGCTACTTCTGATACTTCTAATACTTCTGCTACTTCTGATACTACGGATACCACGGATACTAGTAGTACTAGTGATACTATTGATTCGACGGAATCAGATCCTTCACATCAGGGTCCTGTTCCACTTAGTATAAAATCTACCAGCAAACAACTAGAAAGTGGCAAATCAAAAGCAGGTACTTCAAAAACCAAAGGAAAATCGTTGAATAGTAAGGGCGGTAACCGTACAGTACCTATCTATACAATGTGCTCTAGATCTCAATCATTTGCTTTAAGTGAGTTAATCTAATCAATTCTTCTGAAAAAAAATATATTATAACACACTCATGTCACTCTTTTTTTTGTTGGGGAATCAAATAGCTTTTGATGATGGTCCAAGTGAATTTAGTAAAGGATTAGACTCAACTTTAAAAAAACATCAATCTCATGCCACTTTTTTTATAAATGGATTAAATAATGGATGTATTTATGATTTTGCTGATTTATTATTAGCAAGATTTAAAGCTGGTCATTTGATTGGGTAATTGGTTTTTTTGTTTTCTTCAAGTTTTTCAAGATTAAGAATTTGTATGAATTATTGAAAGTTTATATTGTTTTTTATATTCTTTAGGAGTCATACTTGGGGACATACTCATCTTGCTGAAGGTACTTCTGAACAAATTCATTTACAATTGGAATTACTTGAGAAAGTTGGTATTTTCTCTTTCCTTTTATCTTTCCATTTTTACTTTCCAAGGATCGTTGGCACATATCTGGGGTTTTGGTTTAGGCTTTGTGCTGATGTTGTATTGTTTCAATTAGGCCATGATTAAGATCTTAGGTGTTAAGCCTCTATGGTTCAGACCTCCATATGGTACGTTCAGCTCTTGCTTATTTTCAAAAAAAGATCGATTACTTATAGAATCTTTGATTTGTTTGAAATTGAATCAAAACTTACAGGTGAATATAACGATCTAGTAGTAAGTCAAAAAAACAATTGGCCATTAAATTTAAGTTTGAAATCTTGATTCTAATCAAACTTGATGCATGATTTCATAGGTACAAGTCTTAACAGAAAGAGGTTATAAAGGATTAGTCATGTGGAGTGATGATAGTGGAGATTCATTCGCAGAACCGCCAACTTCTGAGAAAATGATCGAGGCATTCAATCAGTATCCTCCTCAATCTAACATCTTATGTCATGAGACTAAAAGCACTACTACTCAAGAAGTTTGTCATCTAAACTCGCATTAGTTTTTTATTGCCTTATGTTCTGATGAGTGTTGTGTCTTTGTAGGTTATGCCTACTGTCGTAAAGGACCTGAGCGATAAAGGCTTGAAACTTATACCGGTTAGTGATGTTTGATGTTTATTCAAACTTCCATCTACAAAAAAAGGATAATTGATGACTTTTTTGGTGTCTTTCATAGATTGCACAATGTTTGGATATCTCCGATAACCCCAAAGATTGGTATGAATATGTTGGTGAACCATCAAAGAAAGATGTAAGTCCATTGATCTTATATATCTTTTTGGAAAGATCTGGTGTGGTTAATATGATTTTTGTGTGGGATTTTTCTTCCTAGGAAACTTGGACTTGTGAAGGTACACCATTACCTGGAAGTTTTGTATAATCAGAGTAACATCTTTTCCTCTTTTACTCTTGCTCAGGTTATAATGTTTTTTTTTCTTCCTAAAACTTAAAGCTGGTGCTTGTACTCCTGTGTCTTTTTGCATGTGAAATCATGCATTATTTAAGGACTGATTTGTATCATATTGTTGTATTGTTTTTCTTCATATTGTCAACTTCTGCATGTATTTAACCTTCTGGTAAGAGATGACAATGAGATTTTTGGTTATCAAAGATAATTAGGGGATACAAAGTTAAAACTGGGAGTTTTTTCCCAGTTTCCCAGTTTCCCAAATACCGCCAAAAACGCAAACTGAGAAACTGGGAGAACGTGGGAAAGTTCCAAACACAGCCAAAAAGGAAAACTGGGAAACTGGGAAAAAAATCCCAGTTTTAACTTTGTATCCCACAAATAAAGCTGGACACGACCAACAAATTCCAATCTTGGATTTGAGTTGGTGATTCATGTAACACTTTTTCACATCAAAAAACAAACACCATGTAAATATCCTTGTAGCATGTTGAAGTGCACACACAAAAGACTTTCCTGTTATGAGCCTTATACCCCATGTATGCTTGTACTGAGTCTGACTCGACTCTTGAGGATGGGAGAGGGCCTTGTGCTTGGTTCCTCACATTGCAATCTATTCATAAGCAACTAGACACCTTTTCACTCAGTTCACTCATCTGGTCCTTACATATTGCAACGTCTACATAAGAGTAGAACTAGTGGAAGGCCTCTGAGAAGAAAGATATCAAACACAACTCGAAGCCAAAGAAAGATTGAAGAAAAAAGAAGAAAAGTTAAAAGTACATGCACCTTGAAAATCCATCTCAAAAGTTGAAGTTTAAAAAAGAAGAAGTTCAATACAATTAAAGTTATACCTGCTCTACGACCTCGTACTAGCATAGATCCCCGCAACCAAGTTTCAGTCAACGCTCACCACAACCCCGGAATTCAAATTACCCAACAGTCCCTCGGAAAAAGGGAAGGACAAAGTATTTGTAGACGCCTTGAACCTGGAGGATACTGCAAACCCCACCATGTCAATACCAAATATGTAGGATATCATGAGACAGTTGGCCGATCTCAACATGAGACTGAACCAGGAAACTGCACTGCAACAAGAAGCGGAAAGAAAACAATTGGAAACTGAACAAGAGCTTGCAAGTCTCAGACAGAATCAACTGCCACAACCTATGTTCACTGCGGATTCTAACGCCAACCAGCCTGCCCAACCAACCACTGTACTAGCTCCTCCTCGCCCACCAAAAATCACAACACCTGAGAAATTCAATGGGTCAAAAGGCACAAAAGCTGAGATTTTCCTGAATCAACTAGGATTGTATATGCAAATGAATGCAATGGCTTTTGTGAATGAGCAGGCAAAGGTATCATTTGCGTTGTCCTATACAACGGGGAAAGCAAGTGTTTGGGGTCAAAGTTTAATAGATCAATTATTAGATAGTGAGACAGCACACCTAGTCACCTGTAGTAAATTCATCAAGTTGTTTAAGGCCACATTCTTTGATTCAGAGAGGATACCGAAAGCTGAGAAGGAACTAAGAGCACTGAAACAAACAAGAACAGTCTCAGACTACTGGATCCGATTCTCTGAACTTTCCCTGATTGTCAAGTGGCCCAAGAATGTGTTGATCTTGCAGTTTGAGCAAGGGTTGGAGAATGAAGTGTCAGTTTATATGGTACAAGAGGAGTTCACATCAGTAGCGGACATGGCTAAACTAGCAATGAAGCTTGACAACAAGGTCAACAAGAGAAGCAACAATGTATCAGCAGTCTCTACATATGTCAATCAAACGCCCAAGCCCACTCCAGCACCAGATCCAGATGCAATGGATTGTTCAGCATATCAACTAAACATCTCAAATGACGAGTATCACCGTAGAGGAGCATATGGGGAATGCTATGGTTGTGGAAAGAAGGATCATATGATAGGTCAATGCCCGGACAAAAGAAGAAGGGAAGGTTTCACTCCATCACGTATACATGAATTAGAAAGTAAACTGCAAGTGAAAATTGATGAATTAGATAGCCGATTAGCTAGTAATGTTAAAGAGGAAACCACTGGTAGTAGAGCATATAAAATAATGGAGACCATTTACCGTTTTGACCCTAAAACTGCCACAACTAAACCAGCTCGCGCTTTGATTTACAGCGGAGCTACTCATGAAGAGGTGAGTAACAAGTTCATTACTGAGACACAATTCTCAACAACCTTGTTATCACAACCACAAAGTGTAACCGGCTTCAGTGGACATGAGTTGTCTATGACTCATACAGGCAACTACCATGTAAACAACATCACCACCAAAACCACCTTCATCATCACCGACTTGAGAGACAAGTACGACGTGATATTGGGAATGCCTTGGATTAAATTAAATTACATGATGATTGATTGGGAAGCAGGAAGATTCAACTCACCTCAAAATTCAAACATTGCAGTTACTGTAGTAGCTTTGTCCGTACAAAAAAAGCCCTCCCTGGACCACGTTGGAGGCCCAGAGAGGCACACTAGGCAAAGTGAAAAGGGGGTGCAAGCTGTAACTGGCTTACTTACACCCCCGCAATGTGAGTTCAATACCTCTTTACAGATTAATTGTGAAGAAGCAGCTGGCAAGTTGATTACCCCTGTAGAAACTCTGAGCAACACAAACAAAGAGGACCAAGGTCCTGACAAGCGACCCAAACAAGAAGACTCAGACTCCCTTTGTGATCAAGCACCAACTTGTGATCAAGCACCAACTCAAAAGGCAAAGTCTCAGGATGAACTGTCAAACACCTCCGAGGACCACGCAGGCCAAGGAGGACTGCTAGGAACACTGAGATGGGAGTAAAGTTTGAAAATAACTTGTCAAAAACCCCACCGAGTAATTCGCCCAACCCACCTCACCTATCAATTTTGAGCAAAGTTGGCAAGCAAAGATCTCCTTTTGTAAGACATAACATAGGGACCCAATTGTATGCTGTAGTCCTCACAAATTTGTCCACAGCGATGATAGATGCGGCAAAGGTGTCCTGGAACTTATCAGCCAAACTGGCGAGTGAACAAGCAAAAGGAAAACCCGAACAAACGGCAGCTGAAATGGTTCCAAAGTGCTATCACGAGTATTTACATATGTTTGAAAAAGCCAAGTCCAACACCCTACCCCCGCATCGCCCGTATGACTTTAGAATGGACCTACTCCCTGGAGTGACTCCTCAAGCTGGAAGAGTAATACTGTTATCACCAAAAGAGAACAAGGTCTTAAATGAAATGTTAGAGAAAGGTCTTTTGAATGGTACTATCAGGAGAACAACATCCCCGTGGGCAGCTCCTGTGCTCTTCACAGGGAAGAAGGATGGTAATTTAAGGCCATGCTTTGATTATAGGAAACTTAATGCTCTAAAAATCAAAGACAAATATCCTTTACCACTAACAATGGAGCTAGTGGATAGTTTACTTGATGCGGATGAATTCACCAGCTTAGACATGATAAATGGGTACAATAATCTTAGGGTACGAGAAGGTGATGAGGCAAAATTGGCATTCATATGCAAGGCTGGGCAATTTGAGCCACTCACAATGCCTTTTGGGCCAATGGGAGCCCCCGGATTCTTTTTCTTCATCCAGGACATTCTACAAGCTCACATAGGGAGGGATGTGGCAGCGTACCAGGATGATAGAATGATCTACACAAAACCAGGAGTCAATCACAAAGCTGTAGTGAAGGAAGTGCTTGAAATCCTGAAAGAGCAAAATGTCTGGTTGAAGCCAGAGAAATGCAAGTTTTCTCGAAGTGAAGTGTCGTATTTGGGTCTGGTAATCTCGCGGAATAAGATTTGAATGGATGAAACTAAAGTAAAGGCTGCTATGGATTGGCCTGCGCCAAAGAATGCTTCTGAAGTTCTAACATTCTTAGGGTTTTCCAACTTTTATCGCCGATTTATACATCACTTTTCAAAGATAGCACAACCATTGCATGAACTGTCAAAGGATAATGTAAAATTTGAATGGACAAGTGAACATAATCAAGCTTTTGAAAATCTCAAAACGGTGTTCACCACAGCTCCAGTCTTAACCATTGTGAACCCGTACAAGCCATTCATCCTGGAATGTGATTGTTTTGATTACGCGCTAGGTTCTGTGTTATCTCAAATTTCTGACATTGACAATGAATTGCATCCAGTAGTGTTTTTATCACGATCACTAATTAAAGCTGAAAAGAACTACAAAATATTTGACAAAGAGCTGCTAGCGGTGGTTTCAGCATTTAAGGAATGACACCAGTACTTAGAGGGAAACCCAAATCAACTAAACGTGACAGTGTATACAGATCACAAAAACCTCGAGTCTTTGATGACCACTAAGGAATTAACCAGGCAGCAAGCAAGATGGGCGGAAATACTGGGTAGCTTTGATTTTGAAATCAGATTTCGACCCGGCAAGCAATCAACCAAACCGGATGCGTTATCACGCAGACCGGACTTAGCCACAGCGGCTGGAGAGAAACTCACGTTTGGCAGATTGTTGAAACCAGACAACCTACCAAGTGATGTGTTCATTGAGGCACTTGACTTATTTGATTCATGCTTTGAAAAAGAAATACAACTAGAGGAGGTGATGGACGCGGAAATGGAACTAACACCAGTTGAAGTGACTAGTGACACATGGAGTGATTCAAGAATCATCGAAGAAGTAAAAGTTGAAGTCTTGAAGGATCCCAAGCTAGTAGGATTAAGGTGGTTATGCTCAGAAATGCCAAGCTCACATTTACTTAAATATTATAAATTGAGCAACAACATCTTATACTTCAAGAACCGGATAGTAGCACCAAATAGCAACATTATATAACCGCAAGTTCTCAAGTCAAGACATGACAGTCAAGTGGCAGTACACCCTGGGCAAATGAGAACTATGGCTTTGGCAAAAAGGGCGTACCACTGGCCTTCGTTGAAGTCGTATGTGAACGAATACGTCAATGGTTGTGGATTGTGCCAGAGGGTAAAGTCTTGCACAACCAAACCATTTGGGAGCCTGCAACCGTTACCGGTACCAGAATGCCCATGGAGAGACATTTGTTATGACATGATAACTGACTTACCTGTATCTGATGGCTATGATAGCATACTAACGGTACTAGACAGATTCACAAAAATGGCACATTTTCTGGCCTGCCGAAAACAATGATGTCTGAAGAATTGGCATTGTTAATGCTGAATCAGGTATGGAAGCTTCACGGAACTCCGGCATCAATCACATCAGATAGATGCAACATATTTGTATTGAAAATTACAAGAGAAATGAATAAGAGGCTAGGAGTTACAACACAATCTTCAACCGCGTACCATCCTCACACGGATGGCCAATCAGAAGTTACAAACAAATCAGTCAAACAATATATTTGACACTACGCAGCTCACAAGCAGGATGATTGGAATATTCTCCTCCCAATGGCTGAGTTCTCCTATAACAATGATGAACATGTATCAATAGGCATGTCACCGTTCATGGCTAATTATGGATTCAACCCGAGTCTGTCTGTGAGGGGTCAGCTACTTTTTGGCTGACTCTTCACTAAAAAGGTGAAGTACGGGTGGAATAAAGATTAACAAAGTCTTTACTTGGTACACACAAGTAAAGACTTCAGTTAGTTGACCTCTAAGGAGAGGGTTTAAAGCCAGTGGGATGGCTGAGTAATCCTTCAAAGGAGCTTACTCAAGAGCTCTGTTGGGGATAGAGCCTGCAGAACTTTACACTCTGATTGCTCAAAGGTTCCGCCGGATACTTTACACTCAACTCAGGAGGTATCCTATGCAATTCTAAAGCTTGGTTCTATAACTATATAGTCCCACTAGTTTAGAACCACCACTTTAAAGCTTACAAGGGCTTGAGGAAGGTTGTAGAACTATAAGATCAAATACAATAAAATCACTATACTCAATATTCTAGGTAAGAATCAAGTAAGTTGTGATGTGGAATTGTGGAATGATAATAAGTTGGTCCTTCTTCTAGAGTGGGAAGAAGAGGAGTTTATATATTCCAGATCTAGGTGTCAACTTGTGGTTGGCGCTTAGGTTTGCTTTTCTTTGAGTTAGGTTTGGGTTAGGTTTACTATTACTAGTTAAATCCTAGTAAGTCTTGTTACTTAAGTGACTCTTGAAACTGAGCCATGAGTTGTAATTCTTATGGTTTTAGACAAGTTTCATATGATTACATATGTATTACATATATTTACATGTGTGTTTGTTAGTCCGTGGTCCTGTACACAGGGCTCAGGGCTGACACTGTCAGATGTCCCAAGTGCAGATCAATGTCTCCCGGCAGTTGGTGACCAAATCAACCAATTGAAAGATGTTCAAAAAGAACTACAAGTAGCAATGGAAGAAGCTCAGGAGTCAATGAAGATTCAATCCAATAAGAAAGTGTTGGCAACTCCAAAATGGAAAAAAGGGGAACAAGTGTGGCTGAATAGCAAGAACATAACAACAACACTTCCAATGGCTAAGTTCTCTCACAAATGGCTTGGACCGTATGAAATAACACAACAAATCTCAACTAATGCTTATAAGCTACTTTTACCAAAGAAGATGGAGGGCATTCACCCGGTATTCCATGTCAACATCCTTCAAAAATTCAAAAAAGGAAAGATTAAAGGACAGCAAGGCGAACCTCCTGACCGTAGAGATACAGGGAAATGTTGAATTTGAAGTCAATGAAGTTTTAGACAGAAGAAGAAAACAAGGCAAAATCAAATACCTAATTAGTTGGAAAGGATATGGTTCAGAACACGATTCTTGGGAACCCATCAAGAACTTAGGTAACACTCAACAACTGGTAAACGGCTTTGATAGAAAATATCCAAATGCAGAGAAGAGATACTTTAAGGCAAGAAGGATGTAAGAGAGAGGGCAAAGCTTTTTGTCCCACAGGGTTTTTAATGCTAGCCTGTGGAAAGATATCAGATCTGTCAAGAGGGGATTGGGATATAAGGGGGGAGTGGTGTTATGAGCCTTATACCCCATGTATGCTTGTACTGAGTCTGACTTGACTCTTGAGGATGGGAGAGGGCCTTGTGCTTGGTTCCTCACATTGCAATCCGTCAGTTTACATGTGCCAGTGGCTCAGGTCTGTAAGCTAAATTGGACACTTCCTGACATTTTCCAACAGTTACCTACCACCGGTGGCAATGCTCTAAACCCCCTATAAACAACTTTATCAGAAATAGTGCAACAGAGATGAACCAAATCAGAAAAAATAAATGAACATGTGTTGCAATAAGATGTATTCCAAAATTTTGTTGTTAGGGTACCTGTCAATCCAGATGTAAATGCTTCCATGACTGGAACAAGATGGTGTGGGGTGGCACCCACAACACATATTGATTCATCTGAGATGACTTGAAGGTGGGAGATAGCTGGATACCTCATAGATCACATGCTTTGGTTCATGGGCGCGCCCACTCAAAGCCGCGAGCAACAGCGTGGGACTCTGATGAGTTTACTAATTTCCTTGCGCAGATGAATCAGTTTTCTACCATGCTTGTTGAAATTGAAGAGATATTTTACAAGACTGTCAGAGGTTGTCTGAACTATTATTTACAAGCTCCGCTTGGCCTGGAGTTAAAAGACCAACACTTGGTAAATTGGCAAGCGCAGATACGTGACTTGTTTTCTGAGAGATTTGTCCGATAGTTTCTACTGTGGTCATTAGACATATGAAATGTCTCATTTGAATGCTTAAAAATCTCAAACGGGAAAGACAGCTTCTACCCGAGGCCAGTTGTTTGGATCAGTGAAGCTTGTCAAGCTCTGTGTTCACGGATCACGGCGGCATCACTTTTTGGGCTCTTTGTCATAAATTCCACAGAAAAAGATTCTTGAGCTCAACTTTGGGAAGGCAGTGTATACTGTGCAACAAGACAGCGTGATTCTTTCGTGGTCAAAGGGGCAATGGGGAGGGGTAACAGGGAACATAATTTACATCTCTTCATCACAAATGCTCACTCAAAGATGAGGGGAACTTCCCTCATCTCCGCGGCCTCGGGGATGAGGGAAACTCTCATCTCCGCATGCTCGGATCTCCAAGTGATTGTGAGCTACAATTGCCAACTGTCACAGTCCACATTGGTTGTGCACATTTGGTATTTACCGTAGTCTGTGCACCAAGTGTTGGTCTTTTAACGGCATGCTCAAGACAACAGTGGCATAGATAGCCAAGCAGAGGCAGGATCCAATTGCACATCAGCGCATCAAAAAAACGTAAACAGAAATAATTGACTTGCACAGGCCGCACAAAGTAATGACTGACTTAAGCATGATACATAGTGTGGTACTGTACGTAGTTGAACAGGTGTGAAGATGGAATCAGGAACAAGTGTGAAGACATACTTTAAACTGTTACTGAGAAAAGAAGGGAAGTGATTGAAAGGGAGAAAGTCGGAATTGCAAAGAAAAATTACATGAATGAGTGTGGTTTGAGACAAACTGGAAAGTAATGGGGAAATCAGCCTATGAGTACAGGGAATAATCCCAGAGATCTGAGTGTAAAAGAATATGTAGTGCGCGGATGAGGAAAGTACTGTTGGACTGAATCCAAACACAAAAACAAAATCTTAGTATAAGATGAAGAAGAAACAGACACAAAAATCTTATGATAAGATTTTGTAAAGAAACAGTCGGATGAGAAAATAAAACATCAGACTGGTGTTCAACATCAGGTTATAAAGAAAATACAAAAATGAAATTATAATGAATGATGTCACAACACCATTGACGTAATGTTCCTAATTGGGCTATATGATGTAATGTAGTCATAATTGAGAACAACGAAAATGGACAAGATCAGAAATACATTTATGAGAAATACATTAAATATGTAGTAAGACATTTGAAGCACAAATAAATCCAACAAGTACATTCGAGTAAAGGAAGGGAGACAGCGCAAAATTGATGATGCTCTTTCACCATTTTGGCAGTGTAGAAAGAACCAAGACACAAGTCAATTTTCAAAACACAACCCATATTGAAATGAGAGGAAAAATCATAGCAATATGTAATGTCCAGTGATAAGATCCATGAAACAAGTCATGAAGACAAGCACATAAAGAACTTGAGTTTGGAAACTTATACCTGTTGCTGAAACACATTGAACGATCTGTTGAATTAAAATAATTGAAGCTAAATGTGATAAATCACCAATCAATCTAAGCAATTTCATCTTGAGATATCTATGTGCTTAAATTGTTAGAATCATTGTTTGAGAAGACTGATAGTAGCTTTGATAACAATTGAGACACCTGAAAATTGAGTGATTGAGAGGTGATTCTATCTGTAGTCCAAAAGTGTCCCGCTTACGAAAAAGTAAAGTTGAAAGCAAGAAGATCAGAGGTTTTTCTCGGGAATGGGATCATGAAATGAGGTGAAAAAAGATTCCGGGGTATAAATCAACAGAGTTTGCTGTTATCAAGTTTTACTGATGTGATGATTAATGCATACCTGCAACAGCTATGGCGTGAATCCAGCCACTTGCTTGTAACTCTTTGAGACAGTAAGTTTCTACCTCTTCATAACTTATGTATATTCAAACTAAAAGAACTTGATCAAAGTTGAAGAAGCCTGAAGGGGGTTGAAGAGGAAACAAGTTTTGCCAGTAAATTGATGATAGACGGAATGAAAGTTACAGTGTGATTCACAGTGACATTTTACTACTCACTGGCAGGCCAGTGAGTACGATTCACCTCAAAACAACCTCAAAACAATCTCAATTCAATATCAAAGTGACCTCAATATCAGTTCAAGTGGAGGATATGCATGGGCTGCAGATCCACCTGGAGCTAGTTCAGTAGTAGAGCTACAGATGAAAATTGATCCTCCAAAATCTTCCGGTGGTTTCACATAGTTTCATATCACCACTTATTCATACAACCACTCAATCACCTCTATATTCATGCTCAATCCCTCAAAATATGATGTTTGGCACCTTCTTCCATAAACTACCCACTATCCCATTGAAGTTTTGTGACTATGAGGTCCAGTTTTGAGTGCTTATCTCACTTTGAAATGTGCATCTTTTGTCTTTATTCAACATTCTTGTAGCTCAACCCCATCACCCTCGCATCTACACTCCAAGTCCAGCTATAGAACACTGCATGTTCTGCTCCTGCTCCACCTTAAAACACCAACAAAATCACTGAAGGCTCGGGCCTATGAAGTCAGACTTGTAGTTATTTAACCCACTTAGAACAGTGTGAATTTCATCTCTATCAACCTTCCAAAAGAAAATAACAAACAAACAAACGTGAAGCCAATTATGAGATCAGATATACACATATCACAAGGGATGAATCATGATAGTTTGAGTTTGGTGTTTTCAAGGGAGTGGAAAAGGTTTGGGTTGGGAAGCGGTACACAAGTTTTTTACCAAAATCTCACAAGGTTTTTTTATTCACTATCCAGTCCACCAAAAGCAAAATTTACAACCCAATTACACTTATGAGTAGTCTAAGTCATGAATTTCTGCCTATGATCTTTACTCGATCTTTGATGAGTTACAACCATCATATGCATTGGCCCCTTCAATGCAGATTAAGTTGATGGGTTGATATAGTTAAAGCCCACTGAAAAGATTGAAATTAGAATTCAAAAAAGAAAAAAGTTAAAACAAATTGAAAAACATAAAGGAAACTTTGGTTGGTAAAGACTGAAATTAAAGAAGAGAAGAATTGGATGACTTACCATTGAAACATTCAATTTTGAAAAAGATTGATTGGTGGTGAATACATTCAACTCAGATCAGGTACATCCATTGATTGATGGAGAATGTCTTTCTCAATGGCAATCAAAGAAACTAATCAATTAGATAAACTGGAAAGAAAGAGCAACATTCAATTAGTGAATTAAGTGAATCATTCAAATGAATAAATCAAATTGTAAGAGATATAAAAGGAAAGAGAAGACAAATGAAACTTGAAAGAACTTACTAGATTGAAATAGGGGTTCTCAAAGTAGGCCCGGTTTGTAAAAACCCGGTTGACCCAGTTGACTTTTTGGCTGTGATCTGTCAAAAAATGTCAACTCAATACACAAGGTTACTGCCAAAAAGCAACCGGGTCAACTGGGTTTTCTTGAAACCGGGCCAACTTTGAGAACCCCTAATGAATCAAATTGAATCAATTGATCTTGAAATTCAGAACCAAATTTAATTGAGAGAAGTAATAAGGAGCAAGGAAAAGATGAATGATCCAAAATCAAAAGAGTTAAAAGTAGAAACATCAATCAATCAATCTAGAAAGCACAAGAGCAATTTAATCAAGATAATTTGAAAGAAAGAAATTAATTAGTGTTAGGAAATAAAATCAAAAGAAACACAAAAATAGAAATGACTTACCTTTAGAAATTCAAATCAATTGGTGAAAATCAGAGGTTGATGTGAATGATGAAAGTAAGCCAAAAGATGAATGTAGGAACTTGAGTGGTATGAATACACCCCCCACAAGTCGCGTCCTGCAGGGGTGTGTAGATACCACTCAAGTCCTAGATTATACACCCTCCCACCAGCCGCGACTTGTGGGGGTGTGTACATACCAGTCAAGCTCTAGATTTGGGGTTTTGACCAAATTATATGGTTAAACCAGGTTTTTTTCCAAAGAGGTCATTCAAGGCACAATCCAATCATTTGAGCTCATATGTGTGTTAAAACTTCAAGATTTAAGACTTAATCTGAAACCTCAACCATACATTCATCATTTCCTTCATAGTTTGAAATTGTCATCTTTGCAAAGTCCAAAACCACCATTTTCCAAAGTAAAAAAATACAGCTTCCCCAAAACAAAAGTATATCAAAGTCCTAATCATAAAGATGAGAAACCAACATGGTAAATGATATGAATTGAATGGATTAGTATCCATTCAAATGAAGAATGTATACACATAAAAAATCAATGTATTGTCACAACCAACCAAAAAAACAACCACCTTACCAGTCATCTTGTCCCTTTTCCTATTTTCATTCCTTAATATAATAGTTGTATCTATAATTATAAAACCTCATTCCCAACAAAGAATCCCAACATATCTGTATAATCAAGAGCTATCAACTTCTGCTTTACAGGAGAAGTCTTTGGAAGGGGCTCAGAAGGATATTTCGTTGTGGCTCATCTGAAAATCACTCATAACTTCCAAAAATTCTGAAACCTTCATTTGTGGATATGCAACTATATCTTATTTCAGTTCATTTTGGAAGAATATTTGTCTGCTCCTCTAGGCCAAACATTGATATTGGATTGAGATTGAATTGAGATTGAACTGACATGGTTTTGAGGTGGGATTGAGCTGGATGCACTCACTGGCCTGCCAGTGACTAGTAAAATGACACTGTGATTATCAAAGATTCAATGCCAACCTTGTTTGACTTTAACTTGAGGAAGAAAGGAGTACTTTCTGGAGGATGTCCTGATTAAGTGTGAGTTGTGGCTGTTGTTGAGATCAAGAGAGAGAGTCTAACAAAAGGTCAAAGGATAGAAAAAGAGACAAGGTCAGCAAAAATCCATGATGAATGAAGGTTGTATAGCAGAGGTGAGTGGGCTAATCATACGGACCAGGCTAACATTCGATGTAATGAAGGTCGTTTGGTAGTGACGAACAAGAGCAACTTGGACGTGCATGTAGCAAAAGACAAAGAATTGATAAAAGTCAAACAGTTCCACCGTAAGGGATCATATACAAGGGAAACAGAGAGAAAATGAACCAAGTCATTCTCTCCTGGACCTTGGGCAAAACTTCATTCCCTGGATGACAACTTCAGAACAGAGGAGCGATTGAGTATTTGGCAGAGTACGTGAGTAGTGGACACTACAAGAGAAGCATCAAGAATGGGTAAAGTCAGGTTGTTGCTTGAGTGAGCATTTGTGATGAAGAGATGTAAATGATGTTCCCTGTTACCCCTCCCCATTGCCCCTTTGACCACAAAAGAATAACGCTGTCTTGTTGCACAGTATACACTGCCTTCCCAAAGTCAAGCTCAAGAATCTTTTTCCGTGCACTTTATGACAAAGAGCCCAAAAAGTGATGCTGCCGTGATCCGTGAACACAGAGCTTGACGAGCTTCACTGATCCAAACAACTGGCCTCGGGTAGAAGCTGTCTTTCCTGTTTGAGATCGTTAAGCACTGTGTCTGTGTAGGCTTTGCTAGTCGACGAGCGCACACCAACTCCCTTTGAGGCAGAAAGGGAAGTCGTGCGCGCTCGTCGACGAGCGAACACTATCCCGACACGGTGAAGCATTCAAATAGGGGTCCTCAAGTTGAGAAAAATCGTGTTTGAATTACACTTGGACCGTGTTCAAATTGTTAATTTATTTCATTGAATTTGAACAGTGGCTCGGAGCCTCTGTGGAGGGAGCACCAAAGAATTGGGGGAAATCCCTGAGAATGTGAGACTGAGAATTTTCTGAGAATCTGATAATACACCCTCCCAGTTTAAGCATACTTACATGTCGCCTATGTATGCTTACACCGGGAAGGTATATGTCCAAAACCTTAATGATACACCTTGGACCCTTGATGCCTGAGACCTTTCACAGGCTCAGCATTATGCTGGCGAGTGCCTTGGTTTGCGCAGGTTTTTCCTGACCTTTTGCACATACTCAACTGCCAAAGACAACATGCCCTTGCTTTCCTCATTCTGCAGCTTAAGTCATTTACCGCATCAATATTCGATTTTTGACAAACTTGTATCGTGTCAGCATACATCATTGATTGAATGAGGATGTGACCAAACGAGACGAGAAGGGGGAACATCGGGTGAGGTGACAGTGATGGAGAGACAGATGACCTGGTTTGAAATCTTTGCTGTTGCGGGGATGATGATAGTGTCGTTCATGATGTTTGCATTTTCATTCTTCAAGCCCGAGGCTAGATGGGCTGTGCTGACAAGCAGCCTACTCTTTAAGTGATGGAATGTAAATGATATGATGGAACATGTATACAACTGCAAACCCGGAGTGATTTGTGTTATATGTGATATGTGCATTTTTTATATTTCTATTGCTTGCAGATTGCCAGAAACTGAAAGGATCAATCCTTCAAAATAACCAACAAGAGCAGCCAAATTTTATCCGATAAGCAACCGTACTACTTTCCTTCAACACATAAAACAACCCAAATGCAGTTGCAACAATAGTTTGACAAAGAACTCGGCATACAAAACATTTACAATGTGGACGTGAGTGACACAAACAATTTGAATGAAAGGGATCGATGATGCGAGCAATGAGAATCTAAAGAAGACATCACCGACAAGGATGGTACAGAAATAGTCAAAATGTGTGAAAGGCGGTAGAAACACTGTTTGCACGAGATAGGACAAGAAAACCCAGATTTAATAGGGGGTTTCAAGTTGGATTTTTTGCGTATTTTTACCCTACAACAACTTGCCCGTTGTTGTAAAATATGCGTAAATGTTTTACAGCGGGACACCTAAAAAGGTGTCCCGATTCAAAAATACGTTGTTTTACGAAGATTTTTTTTACGAACAACTTGTCCAAATTTTTAAAAATTACCCAAAAAAAATTGAACTTGAAACCCCCTAATGACCAACACGTTTTGTGTCTTAAAGGTTTGTCAGAAATTGAATGTGGTTTAAGAATTTACATACACAATTTGTCAGCTTGAGATTCCAAGTAGAGACTAACGGGATAAGCTCAAGATGAAAAGTGACTCGAAAGACAAATTCTGAGATGATAAGGTGAATACGCACGGGCTTTGTGGTAGCAGTTGGGCTACTATAAGTTCTAGCCAAGTAAGGAATTCTGTTTCAATTGAACAGAAGTTGATTAGTAGTAGTTCTAATCAATCAGGAAAAAGTATCTTAAGTGAGGTGTAAACTCGCTTACTTGGACAACTCCTCGTAGAGTTTTGGGATCCAAAAAAGGTAGCTATTTTAGAGATCTAAATCAACTAAACGCCTTCCACTAGGTCTTACTGATAAGATCCTAATAGGTAAAGATTTAAATCCTTTGTCCTCAAGCGATAGGGTGAAAATCAGGAAAAATTGAATGAAGATACAGTTCTGAAGATTTACGTAACTGGAGTTTTCTTTTAAGAAACAAAAGAAATGGAATGATAAAAGTGAGACAGAGAGCTAGTTTTTGAAGAAGTAAGTCTTTAGAAAAGCTATTGTCTAAAATTTAAGTTTTAATGCGGCTTGGTTTCTGTTAAAAGTAAAACGAGTTTCGTTTATCAAATAAGAGCTTTGAGTAATTCAAGTAGGAATTGGTGGTTATGTTTTTTTTGGTGTGGTCTCTTCTTTCTTAGGAGAAATCTATGGATTATATAGGAGCTGGGTTTCTAACGTGGCGTAATAATCTTCTAATTTGCCTAAGCTGGTTTGGTAAAATTAAGGGTTCTTGATTTTTCCTGAAATCGTTTTCGTTGTGATCTTCCAGGTTAGTTAATGTAGTGTTTTAACTGGTCTGGTGGTTGTGGGGTTGAGTTTGCCTGGTCAGGGTTCAATTATTATTGGATCCTGGCCAGTGTTTCGAATAGTTGTAATGTGACGTAATTGTTCACTCTTGAAACTCGAGTGTTGAGATGTGATATATATATTTTTATAGATTTTTGTAATTATAATTATTGTCAAGGTTAAGTGGTTTAGTTATTTGGGAATTTTAGTGTGACTAAGTTCCTCATAGCTGACACAATTTACAGTATAAACCCATACATCATGGGTAGGTGGAGGTTTCTCAGCGCTCTCAGGGGATCCCCCGGTTCTTCGGTTTACCGTCTGTGGACACAAACTTAACCCGTCCCTCTCCGCGCAAAAGCACGTCCGAGAGAGGGACTTACGGCTTATCACGAATTTCAAGCGTGAGATCTGCCGGGGCTTTTATCCAAAAACACTCTTGCATTATAAAACTTTTTTGCCTCTCAACAAATCTCCCTGGGCCAAAAATAAAAAACATTCGCCTACTCACTGCCTACAACCTCCAGTTTTCCATTCCTCAAAAACGGAGTCGGCTGAGGAATTCTTCAGAGAAAACAAACGGGGCCTCATACTGAACTTCACCCAGGGCCTCACAAGACTGCGGCGTCCAAAAATACACATCCTGGGACAAAACCCAGGAGCTAAGGTCACCAAACTGTTGTTTGGCCACCTAGTGATCATCTTAGTGATCGCACTAAGATATTCACAAAGTTACCTCATCATCGCGTATACCACCTCGGATTAGCTCGTATTCCTATATCACCACTCCTTACCTCGTAACTTCCTCAAAAACATACCTCGCCAATGCTGACACGGAGTCAAAGCAGTTCCCAGACCATTGTCTCGGACGTGACACCGGGCGTCCTGTTCTGAAAGCGTTGTTTCGCAATGTCAGCGAAGAGATTCAAGCTCGATTAGTTGGCGAGTTGTTTAAAAAGATATACGGGTACCCTGATCGCCCCAAGCAAATCGAGAGTGCCATCAACCTCATCAACAACCGCACAACGTTCCTCCTCGCGGGCACCGGCTTTGGCAAGACCCGAATTCCCGAATTGTTGTTCCACTTGTACGAGAAAGGCCAATTACCCATCGTATTAAGTATGAACCCTTTGGATTGCCTTGGTGATGATCAGGTAAGGTATTCACACTGTGGTCACATTCAAGCCTCAACACTGACCGAGCAATCATTAGGTTTTGGAGAAATCATATGTTGGGCTCAAGGCCGTAAATATGACCGGCACGAACTGCAGTAAAGAGATGTGTGACGCCGTGTTGAGAGGTGAATACAATTTTGTTTACGTGGTATGTAGTTTATTCTGTTTCCTACTATCTCTGGATTGTATACCTGACTCCAGTGTTTCTATGTGCAATGTTATGCAGAGCCCGGAGGTTGCGTTGACTAACACGATTTTCGCGAATATGTTTCTGGATCGACGGTTTCAATCCCGTCTAATTCTAAAGGTTGTAGACGAAGCCCACATGATTTACATGTGGGGCTTGGTGAAGAGTGGACATGCGAAGAAACTGTCGAGCTTTGCGAGAATTCAGGACACGGGGGTATTTCGTCCACACTACGGAGATCTTGCTCGACGTTTTCTAGCCACCGACAAAGTACCTCTTCTTCTGATGTCGGCAACTTGCACACCACAGGCAATTCAAGCTATCCTATCTAATCTCAAGATTGACCCTCAGGATGTCCATTTTGCCAAAGCCGAACTTACCAGGCCGGAACTACGCTTGATCCGAAGGACATATAAAAGACCCTTGAAGGCGGCTCTGAATGGGGTTTTCACTCACCACACATTGGTTTCGACAGAAGAGATACCTCCAACTCTTATATACGCCGGAACTCAGAATGCAACGTGGGACTTTCTCCGAATCATCAATTCTGCGCGAGGTCAGGCCACCGAAGCAAACAATGGCCTCTCTGCCTTTGCTCGCCGTTATCATGCTACTACAGGAGCCCGAGCAAAACTCGCTGCAGTCGAGGCATATGTAGGAGGAGCTCTTGCGGTGATGTGCTGTACTCTGGCTCTGGGACTCGGCCAAAATTGGCATCGAGTCCGCCGGGTGATTGTTGTGGGAAGGCACAACCCGTGCCACTTTATCCAAATGGCTGGACGATGTGGCCGGGATGGTCGTCGCGGTTTGGCCATCTTATTGGTCGAAAATAATAGGACCCACGGGAAAAATCTACTGGAAGACTTCAAGACTCCAACCGTGATGACTGATGACGATAGGATGGATGCTTTGGCTATCACCCCGGTATGCCTTTGCGTAGCCCTGGCTGTGGATCTTGCGTGAGTGGATTTCATGATCCTTGTCTTCTAACACAAATTCCAAAGCAAAGGCTTATATTATATTGTGATGTTGGCTGCTAGACACGGCTACATCCCTTTGTCACCTAATTCATTTGTGGTCCAGGAGGAGGAATCACGTCAGCTTATGGAAGAAATGCCGGTTTGTGACTGTAGCAACTGCTTACCCGAGGAAGCGGAATCACTATGGGTCGCGCAGAAAGCTCTCACCGTGGACAACTTTGATGATGCCATGAAATGCAGCGAGTTTGATCTGGAGCAACTGGTCGAGGGCCTACCTATAGTCCCACCTGCCGCAACACTTGCAAACCTCCCGGAGGCGCTGCGTTGCAATGCGGACGATTCCATTAGGACCAGCATGCCACTCGAACAGCTGGTCAATCGGTGGTTAGATGAGTTCAAAGGGTTATTCTACAAGGTTTTCTCGGAGGACTGTGAATTTGGACCATGTGACTACTTCCCTGAAGAAGTAGCGTGGAACCTAGCCAAGAACATTGATATGTATCATCAATCTAGTGATATGAGGCAGATCTTGGCGGGTGAAATCATTCCAGGCCAATTCGAGGCGCTTTTTCAAACGTTTAAACACTGGCAGACCGAGACCGAATCGACAGATGCACTGACCCAAGCAGCCCAACAGCGCCGGGCCATTAAGCGCAATGCCCGCTTCAAGGTACCTCTTTCAGTTGAGGGTACTTTATTGGCCAAACAGAAAGAGGCGCAATTGAAGCTAGCGCTCAAGGAAGCCAAAGTGAGTTTGAAAAACTTGTGTTGGCTTGCCAATTTGTATGACACTTATATAATGAACAAAAATCTGCGATTGGGCAGCTGGCCGAAAAGGAAAAGGAGGAAGAATTGGCGAATGCATTGAAGGAAGCCAAAGTAAGTAGTGCAGGCTTTGGTCTGGGCCTGACCATCGCATAGCCAGTTTACTAATGAAGTTGTCTGCTTTTTGAAACAGCTGGCCGAAAAGATTGAACAGAAGCGCATCAAAGAAGAAATGGGCAAAGCGAAAAAGCTCAGAATTGCGGCCGAAGCCGCCGAAAGAGCGCGCAAGGCAGAACTCAGACAGAAGGAGCGTGAAGAGCGAACCCGGTTGCAGGCAGAGGCTAAGGCACAGATCTCGCAACCCAATGCCCCACGCCGGCGTAGCAAATGCAAAAGCGACGTCTCTTTGGCAACTCAATCCACCGAAGAGCCTAGCCAAGTCAAGCGGAAGTATACTTCTGGTATTCCGTACTCTGATGTGGAGGGATCAAATTCGAGGCCGGTGAGTTTGATTATTACATACTAACAACAGGGTGTTTATTTAATTCATTTGTGATCTTTTTTTGGGCCGACAGGGGCCTTCTACCGAGTGCTCAACATCTAACCTTCGTCAGGAAACAACCCATCTTCATCATCAGCCTCATACCCCCTTGATGAACCCCACCGAAAGCGGGACGATTGACCCACGGCTGTTTCTTCTTGAATGAATTTGATCATGTTGACTAGCCCGATTTGGAATGGATTTTTTACAAAGGATTGCATGCGAGCGGATGTACACTTGACCAGGTGTTCCTGGGCGTATCGAAGGAAGTTGGACATCGACGGATCGGTGATTTTATTAGCGTTTGGTTGGAAAACGATCTTGTGACCGGCACTGGCCTTAATCAGTTGTATCAGCCTTCGCAGCTGGATAAATCAGCAGTTAATAATATTGAATATTAGCAATGAAATCATATCAATTGTGCTGCCCCGGAATGAAGCGAAATGCCAATGCACCATTGGGATGTTGTTCGAATATCTGTATGTGAGTCTCTCAATGTCCGTGCCATGGCCCTTGAGAGACATAAGAGATTATCAGTTCGAATCAACTAAGTGTAAGCAAAAGAAACCTTGGCAAGTGTTCCTCACTAAAATGACTCACCGTATTATAGTAATTTTTTTTAAGCAAATACTGACTCACCGTGTTATTGTAAACTTCTTTGAGCCAAAAAATGTGCACCTCCAGATACTCGTCGATGGGCATCCAATGTCCATCCCGCTCGAGAGAAGGAACCAGGATTGAATGCTTGATGACTTGTGCAAGCTGCGGGGGCAAATCTTTCTCCAGAAGTAAAACCATTCGAGGGATGTGACGAGAATAATGTGACAGCCCAGTCAGTCCTTGCGCCATGATCGCCCAACGCTTCCACATGGCGATCAGGCGTCCTATATCGCCTGCGCGTGTAGCACCATGCGCCTCAACAACGGTGCTAAAGTCACGTAATCGCATAACAAAGTTGTACCTCGTAACATCTTTGGATTCTGTGGCTTCTTTCAAAGCGGCTGAAGAGAAGTAGCGTTTCCAGACGGTATCGAAGAGTCGTTGACAATCGCCCTTTGCGGTCAGATCAATTTTATCAAAAGAATCAATGGTTTCACTGGTTGGAACACAAGGAATCTCAAAGGTCAGTCAATCAGGCGAATGAAATGGATAAGATAAGCTCACCTTAATATGAACACTAGATTTGCCTTGTGCACAATTTGAATCGACCGCATGATTGAATTGAAGTCTTGCGATGCGGGTGGCTTTATATAGTCACCACCGAGTTCAAAGAACGACCGCCATGCTCCCGAATTTTCGCCGTCACTTGAGTTGCCCCAGTGCAAGGTCCAGACCGCCTTGGCGAAGTTCCAAGTGGTATGTGCCGCACCAAAGACAGAAACCACCCAGGACAAACCCTCGACAGCATCGATGGCTGGATGTAGTTTCCCACAAAGGCTTTCCACAAGTTGATTCGAACCGACGTCACCACCAGCGACTAGCAGATGTTTGGCGTACTCATCCTTGTCCATACCGATTTGGGCCATTACTTGATCCAGAACTCGTGAGACGCCGTCAGCCGAAGAATCTGGCGCGTCCATCATGCGCAAGAAGTGAATGTTCGGGGTGTGATACTCTATCGGGTCAATTGGTGGCGGTCTGATGTTCAGAGGGGGTAGCTCTGCTGCCGAAGGCGCTTTCGGCATATGCGAGAGGTGATCAGTGAGTGCACTAGCCATTTGAGCTTGGATCACGGCTTTGAAATGAGCTGATTCTTCTGGGCGAGGCGCAAAATCTTCAATCTTGACAGGTTCCTGGTCAGCAGCTTTCATCGCGGCCACAAAAGAAGCTAGAGATACGGCTTCAGCTTCGCAATTGGCGAGGAGGGCGGCACGGAACACGGTATAGAAGCCCCAAGTCCCGTGGAAAAGCCTCGAGGACATGTCAATTCGCGAATTGTGAATTCGCAGGTGTATGTCAATGTTGTCAAAACACAACAAAGGCAACAGCTTTGAGTTAACCTTGAACACTTGCATTAGTTGTTCCTCTTGTGATAATCGCATGTGTTCCATGGCGTCAAGAACAGAGTCGCGAGAACAGGTTAATCCGAAACATTGAAGATATTCGTTTACGCGGCATGACACCCCTCCAGCCAGAACCATCAGGCCGTTCTGCAGAGGAACGGCATTACAACAACGATTGCAAGTATACGCAATCATAGCACAGATAGCCACCGGGACCTTAGCAAATTGGTGTGGTCAGTCTACAGTGTGCGTCAACTGTCACATGGATAAAAGGACTGACCACCTCAGCTTTATGATCCGCTAGCTCAGCGCAAGTGGACTTAATATCTACCAAGTTAGCTAATGACAGTACTTCTTCGTTTTCAGGCGGTAAAGCACAAGTGGGGGTTTCTCCCTTCTTGCCGACATTTTCTTTGTTAACCTTGCTATCTTTCATCAACACCTTGGCATTCGAACTAGAACTGGTCAATATCTTCTGTGATATTAGGGAGTGTAAGAACGGCATCCCTTGCTTGATTTGCTCGGTACGTTGGGCCTCTGAGGACTCGCTGAAAAAGTCAATTGGGATGTGACTTGAGCTGACATATGCACCCTTTGGGTAAGATCCACGTTCTACTTCTTGAGCATTTACAATATCCGACGCCTGGTAGAAAACACAGATGGTCGGTTTGGACAAATAGAACTCCAAAAATATAAAGGTAAATAACAACCCACCTCTTTCAATATGAATGACTCCCAGAAGACTTGACCATCAGGCGAAGTCTTGATTAGATTGCCATAGTTCTTAAGAATTGATTTGTTGTGCTTTTGTCCTGGGCATATCTTCATCAAGCGACGGCGATAGATTATTTCCTCGTGTTCGGCGGTGGATGAGAAAAAGGTATACATGAATTCCCGGGGAGAGACGTCGAGAGACGTCATGAAATGCAAGATTTTCACAGTCTTATCAACAGTTATAGGAATCTTAGGGACGGGCCGAGGTACTACTTCGTGTGGCATTTTGTAAGATAACTATGCTACGGAATAGTGTGCGATTGAAAAAGTAACAATTTTTTTCCAAGGGAATTTGGAAAAAAAACAAGTGGAAAGAGTGACTGTGTTCGATGATCCACCTCATGAGAGAGAGACCGTATCCCATCATTCATCTGTTCCAAGCCGGATACAAAAAATGGCACGGCAAGGATGGATCTCTTGTCACTTGTGTTATGTAAGCTTAACTAAGCCCCTCTCGCGCGGCTGCGTCCGCGCCCCTCGAAGAGGGGCTTACACCGGACTCGTGTTTTTTGGCGGGTGAGCTCCAAAAGTTAAGTCCTCTTACGTTGTTTTTTGGACTTCCACTCAGACCCTCACCGTAGAATTTTGTGACCTTTGAGTATGTTTATCTTCATGAGATGCTACACATTCTTGTACCACTTTTATCCACCACTCAGCTCTGTGACGCTTTCAGGGGAAGTTGCCAGATCGGATTGTTATGTCCTCCTGTAACAGCTTAAGAGGGCCTGTACAGGCCTTCCACAAGATTTGGAATTTTTGTGCTCGCCTCAAGCTTATGACAAAATGGAAAAACTACTTTTCTGACACAATAACTACAGCCTTTTCGC